CAAATGGTGTCCAATATTGGTATTGAAGTGCTCTTAGCTATATAATGTAGCTGTTTAATTATAGCTCCTGCTCCTCTTTCTCTCTACATTTTCCCTTGTAAATTCATATTTTGCAAAACTGAACAGTTGCTAATGGCTGTTTCTGTATTTCCTAAATTTAAAAGTGTTTTTTTAATCCTATTTTTTTTAAAAAAAAATATATCCTAAATTTAAACAAATCTGTCCCCAGCCATAAATTTTAACTGGTTAAAAGCCATTTGGCTGACCATCTGGATTTATACACAAATTATGTGACATATTAAACTATATTGGTCTTTCTCCATCTCTTATGAATCAGCTTCATGTTTTCTGTTGGTGAGATGGAGATACCTGCAAAATATCAAGCTGAAGCAACATTTTCATGCTTGTTGTTTTGTTAATAAGAATGAAGTCTAGAACAAGGATCTAGTCACAATACAGCCAGAATTTTGAAATGGAAAAAACTATGCTGGGATAAACCGTAGCTTAAAAATACTTCCTATATTTTACTGTTTAGGTTAGAACAGCTGCCTTTCCCAACATGGTGCCTCATGATGAGCTCTTCAAATAACAATTCCTTCTATTATACAGTAATCACATCATGTTCAGGAATTGATAGAAGATGTCATTCAACACATTAGTCTGGCACCAATTCAGGGGAGGCAATAATAGAGGTTATAGCTTCTATCCCTTTACTTTTGAAATGTATTGTCCAACTGCTGTTTCTTTGGTACTCTTTGGTACTTTTGGCACAATGTCTCTTCAACAGGCTGACCATCTTGTTATTAAGATTTCACTTCAGGGATACGATTAGTAGGTTGTTCGACAGCATGCTCATTTTCCCATATACAACATGATTTATAATTTTCTACTATTTTGGCCTGAAAGTTGGATTTATCCCTCTTCTGCCAGAGATCAGTGGCAATGTAGATATTGTAGGGGTCATTGGAATGTTCCAGCTTTTTGGAGCGGATATAGCTAATCATGACCCCAAAGGTGATGAATCCAAAAAATCCAAGCAGCAGAAGTATAAACACTACTTCCAGATGGTCACTAGAATCAATGAAGGGTACAGGTGTGGGGTGGGTTTTCTTCTCTAGGTAGTCTTCTAACAATTTTGAGAGGATCACGGTTAAGGCTGTGTTGTTTGATGGCATTGCCATTGTGTCATGAGGGATGCAGCTGTTTCTACAAGATCTAGAGAAGTTTGAAAAAAGATAGTTAAAAAGAATGCATGAAAATTATAGTATCTAATACTGTCTTCAAACTGACCTATAAAAATGATACACTTTTAAAAATTGGGATTGGTTCTTGAACTGTATATGCTTCAGATCTTTATTTCATCTAAATGAATCATGTGAACCATGGGCCAATCGTCTCCCTAAACATTGCTATTATTTGTAACCAAAAGATATTCCATGTGAAACAATAATGAAACAATTGATAATATGCTTGGTAATGGAGATGAAATAAATCTGACAACATATATTGCTTTATTCCTCTGTATCTACTGTAGTCTGTTGGTTATTATAATTTTATCATGTACTCATACTTTTCATAAGAATGCGATAAGCATTTCCCTCATTGATATTTGTACACTAAAATTGCTCAGCTTCATTATGTGTTGGATAGAAATTAGTAAAAGGAAAAAGGGAACCAAAAGTAGAGGGATTGCTATATTCCCTGGTTTGTTAGGCATTTCCTAAGTTTTAGTTAAACTACATGATACCCTGTATCATGTATCACTGTATAACTCTGATGGTTGGATTTGGTTTTAAATTCAAAACAAGACCCTTGTAGGAAGAGATATGAAAGATTAACAACATTTCCTTTTTATGAATTAACTTCACAGGTATGAAAATTAGAATGAAATTGCTTCATTCATTAGGCAGATAATTTGTGTTGTAAGCAGATAATTTTAATGCAGACTAGGAGTTCTAGTGGGGAAAATGGACAGTGGATTGCTCTGCTGGTTCCACCCTTCATTCCCACCCATATAGTTAATTTCTGAAAACAATTGTAGGGATGGTTCTTCACGCAGTTGGGGGCCCAAGTCGTGTATCTGATCAGGTCTGATATGATTGTGCATCTATTTCCAGGCTCTCTGCTGGTAATAAAGGCTTCCAAGTGTACTTAATTCCCCTCAAATGCAGTGGGTCTGAAAACTTTCAGAAATCTGGTGATTACCGAATTAACAGACTAACAACTAATAAGAACCACAAAAACTGATTCACGGAGTTTCAGAAACATGGATGTTTGGGCACTTTTCTTTTTTTTTAATGAAGATGGTGGTTCTGTTTAGAGGCACAGGTGGGATATTGCAGTTGGCCCAGCTGTATAAATGGGGAAGCTCATTAATACAAAGCTATCCAGTACGAAGCATATAGGTGCTACATAATTTTGTGTATTTTTCACATGTTTAGTATACTCTTCTTAGTGTACACTGCCATTTGTTTATGAAGTGATCATGGTTTTATATTACATTTGTGGCACATTTGGGGTTTTCTTTGTTTTTGTTTATGATACCCTGGAATCATAGGATGAGATAGTGATTAAGAATGACTTTTCACTGGAAAAAATAGATTTCAGATTTTTTCATTTTTTATTTTTGTATGGCTATTATTCTTTAATTCTTCAGGATGTATTTATTGGAAATTTGCCCGTGTCCTGCTCTTTCTTCTAGAAAATTATAGCACTAATACAAAATGAATATATCCTATTTCTATATCAGATTTCTAACTATTTGGCCATGCCTCTATCTCAGATAATCATGGCACAAACATGCATTGGCAATGTCTTTTTTATGCCATGACTCCGTGATATTACCTATATTACATCTCTAGCCCATGACTGACATAGCTTTAAGATATCCTAAACTATCCCAATGTTTAAAAAAAAAAAAAAGGTTTTCCTCTTATTCCACTCCATCCAAAAGCAGCCTGAAGGGACTCTGTGTAATACAGCAGACCTAGTCAAAATCACCATAACATGCTGGGAGCTATAGTTAAGTGAAATCTAGAAGGCCACAGTAGCTCATTTATATGCTGGATGATATTTGTTTGTTGAAAAATGTGCTTTTGTTAGTGTAAATAATTGGGCTGGATTCAATTCTGTAACTAATTTTGTCATTGGTTTCAGTTTCTAAAAAAATGTTCAGGTCTGCAACATGCATGCCATATTATTTTTGTAGTTCTTGATTATTTTTGTATTGTGTGTGTGTGTGTGTGTGTGTGTGTGCGTGCATGTGTGGGCTCATGTGCACAAATGTGTTAAATTGATTAGTCTGGGGGTATTTTTCTGAGGAAGCTTTTTGTGTGAAGTTGCAGGAGATAACAAGAAATATCAGCTTAGAATAGCCTTCCTCAATTTAGCATGTTCCAAATGTATTGGGATTATAACTCCTTGAATGTTTGGCTTAGTATGGTCTTTGCCTGTGAAAACTTGGTGGGGTGGGAGAATTGTAAACATAACTAGAGAACAAGACCTTGAGGAAGTCAGAAGCATCTACAGTAATATCTATGCATGTAACTATCCATTTTTGGGTGTGTATAATTACAACTGATTAGTGTCAAATTACTCAATCTCCCTTGGATATTAACAGATTGATTTATTGCATATAATTAACTTTTTAGAAACAGTGATCAGCTTTCCATTGAGCAAGAGGCATGCCATGAAACCTTATTTCTGCCCCCCTTTCCCCAAATAATATGCAGTATGCACATTAAGAGCAGATGCGGATCTTTGCATCAAATGGTATTTAAAAGGATAAGCTATCTGCCTACATAGATTAAGAAGAAAAGAAAAGAAAACTGAATGCTGTGTAGTTTGTTTTTTTTAATATAGGGCTCCAGTGTCTATGTACAATGTAATCCCCTCTTTTTAAAAATATTATTTATTTCCAAACAAGTGGATATAATATTGTAAAGAATTACTACACTGGTGTGAACAGTTAGAGTTGTTTGCCACATTCTAATTCACATGTATAATGTGTATTTGAAAAATTCTTCATAGCAATACTACACGTGCGCATGTGTGTGCATACACACACACACACACACACACACACAATATCTGAATTGTCAAGTTTCAGGCAAGATGTCAACACTGCATGTTAATCAATATAACAGTGGATGTAAAAGTTAAATCCTATAATTTAAAGTTAAATCCTATAGTTCACCTATAATTTCAAGTGCTGTGATGTTTCAAAGCAAAAATAATTCCCATGCTTCCCCCTTCAGCAAAAAAAAAAAAAAGAGTATTTTACAGTATAAAATAACTTCAGGACAAAATCAATCGATGAATAAAAATAATCAAGCCAATGAAAAGAAGCCCAGGAGATGCCAGGCTGCTGCCTCAGGTGCCCCAACAGAAAAGAAGATTTACATTTCTGATTAGCAAGAAGCGAGGGCAGAAGCCAACTGGGAAAACATGCAAACTCACCAAGTTGTGCGAAGGAGGGAGCCTGCAACCTGGGATGCTGTGAGTCAGGCTCACGCTCTGAGAATGGCTAGAAAGAAGCCTGAAGTTTGGCTGTTGGGAATCCACCCAGCTTGTACGGCTGTGCCTCCTGGGAGGGACCTAGTGACTGAGCTCACAGCCTCCTGCTTTGAGAGCGCACATGAGAGAAGGCAGCCTATAATCAGCTGGCAGAAGAGCAACACGAGGTAGAGGAAGGTGACACAGACTTCCAGGTAGAGAAGGAATGCTCAGGGACACAAACAAGCAAGGAAATGGGCCATGTGCAGAGAAGAGCCTGATGTTCATGCGGCATCATCTGTCATTTTCCTGGACTGCTTTTCTTTATGCTTTTCATTGTTTAATTTTACTTTAGTTTTAATCCTACAATGCTTATTGAGAATCGCTTGTACTCATAGATTAAGAGATAATTTTATAGTTGTATTGATATGTGCTGCAAAGGAAATTGGGAGCGTCCTCTTTGTACTGCATTTCCTTCGATTCTTTCTTTTTGTACTTTTACTCTTTTTCTTCCAACTCTCTTCTTTTTTTTTTCTTTACTGCTTTTACTCTTTATTAGTTTGTGTTACTTTTTATGTTCTTTGTAAAAATTTAATGAAAAGATCATTAAAAATAAATTCCCAGAATTGCAATTTGGGGGGGTGGTGCGATTATATAAATCACTTCAATCACTATATAAATCTATCAGTCAACCATCTGTTAACACAAGGGTCAGAATAATTCTGACTTGTATTACAGAACAAATAGGCAGGGGCAATTTAAAAAGCCACTGATTCAGTTCTGTGGAGCTGCTTTATTAAAAAGAGAGAATGACTGGCCCAAATCACCCAGCCATTTTCCATGACTAAAACTTAGGTCTCCCAGTTTCCAGTCTGATGCCTTAACAATCACTTAGTAGTGATGAGATCCAGGGTAGACCAAGCAACTTTGTATTAGAAAGTTTGGGCAAAGCCTCATCACTCTGCCTGCAGTTGCAGACCTGCACAAAGGTAGCATTAAAGTTCTCTTTCAGGGCAAGGAACAAATCCGACAAAGAGTTTGCAGTTTTCCTTGATATGCTCCAGGTCCTTTGGAGTTTAGTTCCCAGAACTCCCACCTAACATTTACATACCGGTTCTGAGCTGGGGTTGAATTCTTTCCTTATGATTTTATGAAGCAACTCTTTCATTTTATCTGTCTCTCCTTTTTCTTTCTGTCTTGTGAACAATATAAAACAACTACCCCATCTACAATTACCCTGATCAGCTTGGATCATTGGATTCTTGCTGCTAATGTCAGGAAGCTAGATAACACCATATTAAAACACAAACAAACCTACCACACTTTACCCTAGAATATTCTGAGTATCTATCCAATCCAATAGTTAACTTGTGGTTCAGGGTGCTGTGCAAATTCTGAACATTGAGTTTATTAAATAAATTGAACCTAACTTGCCTTGGATAAATACGTCATGTGAACACTCCCAGTCTGGACACTGGTAGTCAACAGACCATGATCAGCTAATCTGTGTTGACTGGATTACTGGTTCTTCCCTAGTGTATTCCTTGAGAGAAAGATAAGCATGAGGGTATTGAAAGGACTGCATAGAAATGTATATTTATGTAGAGCAAAATGTTGTTTATCACAGGGCAAAAAGATTCACATGAAATAATGATATTTTGCACAGCATCTGAATTTACTCTCTCCAACCGCAATGTTTCTTCTACAGAAGCGCCATAAAATCATTTTAGCAACACAATGGGTCTTGCTTCTCCCAGAATGCTTCAGAATGGGCCCTTTTGAGAGCCGTGACTCTGAGAACTTTTTAAGAAAGTGTTTACATTTTTTAAAAACAGGGACTTTAAAAGGAAAAAAAAAGTACCAGCATCCCCACCAGACACTCTACTTTCTATAATTTTTAAGTAAATCTTCAGCTGAAAGCATTGCACAGTCAGTTTGCTCACCCTGTTCTATATGTCCAGCTGACAGCAATGTGTACCCAGTTTTGTGTACTAGATCATGTTCTTTCTTATCCCTTTGATTTTATCTTCAAAACAAATTGCTGGTATTAGTGATTGATTTTGTGGGTAAGGAAGAAAAGGCAGCTGTATGTAGCATAGGCAAAAATGCTTTGTTGGTACCCAGTGACACTTTCCAGATACTTATGTTTAATATTATATAGTTATTTCTGAAAGATTTCACAATGAAATCATGGCACAACTTGAGTTAAAAATAGAGAGCAGAGAAAGACTCTATTTACGAAACACTGCAGAAAGAAGGAAAGCCAAGGTGAGAAGTTATGTCTAGGGGATCCTTATTTTTATGTATTGTAGTTTATTTGAAAAAAAAAAATGAGTCAGTGCTTAATCGGTAACATTGGAATGCTGAGACATCATCTGTATGAAAATTCTGCCATCTTTGGAAGCAAGAAACGGTAGTAAACTGTTTACTGCAAATTCAGAAGCAGTCTTTTTGTTTATTTAGGTGAAAACTAAATGAATTCAAACACTGTAAGTTTGAAACAGTACTTAGATATTTGCTTGTACATATTTTATGTCTTTTGCTTTCCAGATCTGTGCCTTAGATCTTCAGTTATTTGGCAGTACCTTGGGCAGCCAGTGCTTTATCTCTCTTTTACAACCAAGAGTTTTGTCAGTATTTGGTAACCTTCTAGCAAAGGAAAAGAGGCTCAGGTTCAGAAACAGCTTGAACAATCCAACAGGAGTAGATGCTAGAACTATCAACTTCCATTCACAACCATAAGAATGTTGGCCATCCACAGCTGAGGTATGTTCATTCTTTGGCCATTATAGGATCATTTACACCAGAGGATTGTTGGGACGCAGCAACTTAATGATTCATGGCAGGATGAACACACTGGTGTAGATTTCAAGGCACTGAAATCATATGGACTATAAACATATCTATATTAATTATGAAATGAATGAGTCAGCACTTGTGTAGCTTGAGGTATGGAGGATGAAGGAAAAACACAAACATGTATAGAACTGGTTTATCCAAACAAGCAGAAGCAAATTTGTACATTCGCCTTAAGCATGTAACTTAAACAAATGCATTTATCAGTTTAGGTGCTTTTAGAGGTTGAGCCAATACAAACAAGTAGATGTTGCCAGGGTCAAATCTAAATTTGAATTGAACTGAAATCAAATTATTTAGATGCAATTTATACAATGTTCCCAATAGGCATGGTTATTTATTCCCCCCCCCCCCATGAACAAGAAAATTGAAAAGACTTTCAAAAACTGGTTTCCTAGGTTGAACAATGATTGCCTGTTTTCACAAATAAAACTACAACAAGCATGTGCTTAGCCAACTGAATAGGTGCATTTAATTATTTATTAAATTTATGTCCTGCCTTTCCTCCAAGAGCTCAAGGAGGTATACATAAACTCTCACCTCCATATTTTCTAAAATAACCCCATGGGATGTTTGAACGGAGAGAGACTGACTAAGACAAAGTTACTCAGCACGCTTTCGTGGCTGAAATTGAGCCTGAACCTAGATCTTCAAAGTTAAACATTTCCTAGGACCAGGAGGAAATTACAAATAACTAGCAGCATTAAACTAGAAAAAACTAGAGGATCACTGCAAATGATAAGATGATGTTGTAGCACTAATAAATGCATGATTAATATTCACTTACGGGTATCCTAAATTTTGTGTTTTATAAGCTTAAATATCCACACTGGTTTTTCATATGTATATGAATATGTATATAACAAACAAAAATTTGATGAGCTGGAATAGAATTATACTTTCATTTTACTTTCAGTCTCTACATATTTTTCCAAAAACCAGATCTGCACAACTGTTTAATGTGTAAACCCTTCCCTGGCCATGGACAAGGGTAAATGAGAGAAGATCAAATTATCATTCAGCTTTGTTTGGGTATTTTCCCACGTCATTGCAGTTGTGCTTTTAAAGTTGTAGCAACGTTTCGGCAGAATCTCATCTGCCATCATCAGGCTTCTGTATAGTGTTCATCTGTATAGCGTTCATCTATAGTGTTCATCTATACAGAAGCCTGATGATGGCAGATG